ACAACATTTGCTGCATCGAATTCCAACTTATAACATCAATAAAGATAAGTACACCCAAATATTGATGAGAACTACGCAGAACCCAAGTTAATTGATGTCAAAATGAACAAATCAACATTTACCAAAAAGGGAATAAAATGCACAGTATCAACTACCCCAGATTATAAATCAACAGAGCAGAGAAACAATGGACCCAGATCAAACCAAAAAAGCTCCACATATTCCTCTCTCTCTCTCTCTCTCTCTCTTACGATATACTTACTGATACATACAATTGCCGTTGGATGAAAGTTCGTCGAGAATCGACGGCGAAATTAAATTGTGCCAGATGTCCGAAAATGTCTTACTCCAAACGAGTAAGTCTCAAGAAAACGAAATCAACACCAGTAAAAATCAAGTAGACGGAAAGCAAAAAAATGTGTGAAATATGGAATTAAGAAAAAAAAAAAAGAGGTGAGGTAGGGACCCAACATATATTATTTGGTTTGATTAATAGGAGGTGAAGTGATGTACAATTATAATATCATATAACTTAAATATGATTTTTATATAAATTTTATACAATATATCTTTTGTATATTTTTTATCTGATTTATACATAGTAAAATTAAATTTCATACAACTAATTATATATTATACAACTTACAGCTTATTTACAACTTTCACACATTATTTCTACCCTAGTTATATACAACTACAATATCATACCACTCCAGATGCGGGAATCGAGGCTAAGATGGTTCGGGCATGTTAAGAGGAGAAGCCCAAATGCTCCGGTAAGGAGGTGTGAACGACTGGTTGTGGAGGGCACGAGAAGAGGTAGAGGGCGACCTAAGAAATATTGGGGTGAGGTGATCAAGTAGGATATGGCGAGACTTCGGATTTTCGAGGACATGATACTTGATAGGAAGATGTGGAGGTCGAGTATTAGGATTGTAGGTTAGTAGGTAGTTGAGTCTTGCCTTACTTCGCACCTTTGTAAGACTAGTCTGGTAGAGTTTTTTGTCTAAGATAGTTAGTGGCAATGTTGTGTCTTACTATTTCGCTTTTCAATGCAGGACCTTTTGATTAGCTTTCGCTTTTGCTTTGCATCTTTCTTCTAGATTTCATATTGTTCCTATTTTTCCTACGATTTCTGTGGTGATACTAATATTGTCTCATTTTTGTATTTTTATTTTCTTGAGCCGAGGGTCTTCCGAAACAACCTCTCTACTCCTTCAGGGTAGGAGTAGGATCTGCGTACACACTATCCTCCCCAGACCCCACTAGTGGGATTTTACAGGGTTGTTGTTTTTGTTGTTAAATACAATTTTTATACAAATTTACTATAACTTTACTACAATAGAATACAATTTACCTACAGTTTTACTACAACTTTACTACAATTTCGTAAGTATAATGTATATCATGTCTTCTTTTTCTTCTTCTTCGAGTTTCAATCTGAAATTTAATCAAAATCAAGTCTAATCTTCACCAAAACACCCTCAAAATTGAGATATAAACTCCGAACAACATTCCCAATTATTTGCAACAACACCCAATCCAAACAAATAATGATTTTTGAAAACCCAAATTCGAATTCAAAGCTTCAAAGCTTTTTCATGGCTGTCAATGGTGGAATTGCTGCTCTTTTTTTCTTTGCTTTACATTACTGGAATCAGGGATTTGGAGATATAGAGAGAGACGTAAAGAGAGTTCCCAATTATTTGCAACAACATCCAATTCAAACAAATAATATTTTTGAAAACCCAAATCCGAATTCAAAGCTTCAAAGCTTTTTAATGGCTGTCAATGGTCAAATTGTTGCTCTCTTTTCCTTTGCTCTACATCATTAGAATTAGAGAGAGAGAGAGAGAGAGAGAGAGAGAGAGAGAGAGAGAGAGAGAGAGAGAGAGAGAGAGAGAGAGAGAGAGGATGAGAAATAATTGATTCCTAATATAAAGGGATACTCATTTAATTCCTAAAGTGTATATAATTCGTAAATTTGTTCTTCATCCGTTCTAATTTATGTGAACATGTTTGACTGGGCACGGAGTTCAAGAAAAAATGAAGACTTTTAGAATTTGTGGTCCTAAACAAGTCAAAAAGGGGTCCAGAGTATTTGTGTGGTTATAAAAGCTTCTCATTAAGGGTAGAATTGTAAGTTTAAACTAAATTGTTACCAAATTTAGAAAGGGAAATTCTTTTTGGAACAGACCAAAAAAGAAATAAGTTCACATAATCTGAAACAGAGGGAGTATATATAGGAGGTAATTAAATTGAAACTTGAATAGGGAGGGTAGTAAAATTTCCAATAATGTATAAGTATGTAAAAATCCTTCTAATTATACTTATAATGAAAAAGAAGCGGATTTTTTTTAGGAAATTTTGTTCGTTTATTTATATACCATCCATTTTATAGTCTTAAATATTAGGACTTCATATAAAGTCAAATAAGAAAATATTTTAAAAACTAAATTTTAATTGATTTTGAAGTTTTAAATATTAGACAAATAATTAAATAATTATTTTGTTCATTATAAAATTTATTTTTAAAAAATAAAAAAGACAAACGTCAATACTGTGGATTGACGGCACTTTCTTTGTACTTGGCACGTCAATTGACTACACTTCTTTTGTACTTTCTGTCCCAAAGTCCATAACATACCATTTCAAACATAACACTATTTTTTTAAAAACTCTTTTTTGGTAATTAGTTTTTGTATTAATCATCAGCGAATCTTTACATAGCACCATAGTTAGCTATCACAGTTTAACTATTTTATGTACATTAATCTCATGTTCTTCCTATTATCTATTCAAAATCTATAACTTTGCACTATATCAACTATACTAGGAGGAGCTCGTGCACAACAATCACACACTATCTCCTTGGCTATCTTCTCCCAGTTCGAATTTGTTTTCTAAAAAATTCTCTGATTTCTCTCTATCCATATATTATGTACCATTTTCGTGTATAACATCTTGAATAATTGTGCTTCCTTGGATCTACCTTTAGCTCTCTTAATCACTTCTTGCATATGTTGTTCCCAGTTAGCTACTGGTAAGCTTTGTTTCTGTGCCCAATTCATCACTTTCTTTAGTACCTCTTTTGTGTATGTACACTCCACATATATGTGATCTCGAGTTTCCTCTTCTTTATGGCATAGACTGCATCTGTCCTCTCCCTGAATCCCCCCATTTCTTCAGCCTATCAACAGTGAGTAGTCTGTTCTGCATTTGTAACCAAAGAGTGAACTTTGCTTTTGGCCTTGCAGCATTACCAAACATCAGACATTTCCATAGGACTCTAGGTTGGTCATCCAGTAGCTGAAGATATATCTGTTTGATGATCGCTTTTCCCTTACATATTTGCACATTATTATCTTCTATGATCTGCTTTGCTTCTAGTATTTTCCTCACCATGCAGCTTGCCTGCTTTGGTAGTTAACTTGCTCTATCTGCTGCCCTTTTATATAGTATGCATGTATCCTTTTTATCCACATTCTATCTTCTTTCTGTGCCACATTCCAGTATAGCTTGCTAATGGCAGCTTTATTCCACAGTATCATGTTTATGATATTCCATCCACCACTTCTTTTTGGATAAGATACTCTTTCCCAACTGATCAAAACTTTCTTTGTTATGACATTATTACCAGTCCATAGGTAACTTCGACAGAAGCTTTCCACTGCTTTCATTACTTTAACTGGTAATATGGACACTTGAGCCCAGTACGATTGAACTCCAAATAAGACACTGCTTATCAATTGACTTCTTCCTGCATATGACGATTTCCCTGCTGTCCATGAAGTAATTCTTGCCACAATTTTATCAATGATTGGTTTCCACTGTATCATTGTCAGTTTCCTAGTTGAAAGTGGCACTCCCAAATATGTAAAGGGTAGTTCTCCCCTTGTAAATCTGAATCCTGCAGTATCTGCTCTTGTTCTTGTTGTCCCATTCCTCCAAAATAAATTGAGCTTTTCCCTTTATTTGCTTGCAATCCTGAAGCTTTTGAGAATTGGTTAAAGCTCCTCATTACAGCATTTACTGATTCAGCTTCTCCTTTGGAAAATATTAAAAGATCATCTGCAAAACATAACTGAGTTAGTGATAATCTGGCACATCTGGGATGGTATTTGTACTGCTTGCTTTCTGTCATGTCCTTCAGTGTTCTACTCAGGTACTCCATTGCTATTGCAAACAAGAATGGGGACATAGGATCCCCTTGTCTCAAACCCTTCTTGGCATTAAAAGGTTTTGTTGGTTCTTCATTTACTATGATTGTGTAGTTTACTGTTTTAACACACTCCATCACCTATGCTATGTATCTTTCTGGAATCCTATCAGCCTCATAACCTGCTCCAAGTAACTCCATTCAACTGAATCATAGGCCTTTTGTAAGTCAATCTTGATCATGCATATTGGTGTTATGTGCTTCCTCGTGTAACCTTTAACTAATTCATGAGCCAGAATACTGTTGTCTCCTATTCTCCTCCCTGGTACAAATCCAGCTTGTGCTTCACAGATAATCCCTCCTAGTATCCTCTGCATTCTAGCTGCCAGTATCTTTGAGATCAGCTTGTATAGCACTGTGCAACATGCTATTGGTCTATATTCTTTAATTGTTACTGGATTCTCTATCTTTGGTATCAAAGTTATGGCTGTACAATTAATAGCTCTATACAGTCTTCCTGTACTGAAGAACTCTTGCACTGCTTTAGTCACCTCATCACCTATAATGTGCCATGCTCTCTTAAAAAACACTGCATTATAACCATCTATCCCTGGTGCCTTATCATCTCCTATTCCTTTTAGCCCTTCATACATTTCCTGTCTAGTTATTTCTGTGTTTAGCATCATTCTCTGCTCCTTGTTCAACGTAGGCCCCTTCTTCATTACTGCTCTACTAACTGCTGTTAGATTCTCAACTGCTGCGCCCATAAGGCCTTTATAAAATCTCAAAATTTCTTTTTGAATCCCATCCTGCTTGTTTATCTTGTTACCATCTAATCCCATCAGTCTTTTATTTGTTTCCTGTGCTTCCTTTCTTTCATTACTGCTGAGAAGTATTTGGTATTTGCATCTCTCAGTTTTATCCATTTATCCCTAGATTTTTGCTTCATAATGCTTTCTTCTATCATTGACCACTTCTTTAATTTCTGCAGTGCATCCCTCTCTTGAGCTTGCAATACATCATCAAACTTTTGCTGTATTTGCCTTTGTATTTTCTTTATTTCTTCCCTTGCATCTTCCATTTTTTGCTCAGCATTCCTAAATTCTCTGTTGTTCAGTGTCTTCAATTTAGGTCGTAGCCTTTTCAACTTCCTCCATGTTCCTCTCATTAGCCAAGGATCTTGGCACTGTTGCCAAGCTTCTTCTACTAGCTGTGTAAACTCTTTGTGATCTGCCCAAACATCAAAGAATCTAAATGGACTCCTAGTGTTAGCTTGATCCACTCCCAAACTCAGTAGCATTGGTGCATTGTCTGAAATCCCAGGTAGCTCATATTCCACTGTTACATTGCCCCATTTCATTATCCATTCATAATTCCCAAAGGCTCTATCAATTCTACTTTGTATTCTATCTTCCATTTTTTGCTTGTTACTCCATGTATAGTAATCACCCTTCTATAGTAGTTCATTTAGGTTGGCTGTTTGCATGCATTCTACAAAGTCTTGTACATCACCCTGCTGGACTGGATTGCCTTGATTCCTATCTGCAACATACATAACTTCATTAAAATCACCTATCACTATCCAAGGTTTGTTGATACCTTGAGCTAGTGTCTTCAACTCTTCCCATAACCCTTTTCTTTGCTCAATTGTATTAAAACCATATATGATAGTCATCAAACAATCCACCTGACTAGTATTCTCTATGACTTCACAATGTATCATTTGAGCATTTTCCCTTATCTTAGTAACCTGATAATTGTTAGCGTCCCAGATCACCCAGATCCTTCCATTCTTGGCTGATGCATAATTATTCAAATTGCTCCACCCTGTGGCTATATTTTTTGTTATACTTCCAGCTTTACTCTCTTTTACTCTTGTTTCAACTATGCCGGCTAGCCCAAATTTTTTTTTATTTTAAGGAGTTTCTTCAGTTCTTTCTGCTTGTACCTTTTATTTACTCCCCTTATATTCCATACTAACCAATTCATAATGATCTCCTTGCCTTACCTCCTATGTCTGGAGGTACCGTGTGTGCACCCTTCCCCTCTCTACTCAATATTTGGAATCCATTCCTCAGTGGTACTGATCCCAAAACTGGGAAATGAATGTCATTGAACTCTGGTATTTGACTTTCCACCTCTTTCCTTATATTCCCTGGTGTTTGTACTTCATTGCTTGTTGATTTCTGCTTCTCGGCTTCCCTTGACCGTTGTCCTACTTCCATTATTCTCCTACTATCCTGTTGTTGCATTATTCCTTTCTCTGGGGCAATTTCTTGTTCAATCTCTTTTATTTTCCCTTTCTCCTTTGTAACCCACTGTTGCACTACTTTCTTTGGCTTTCTCTGTTCATTCTTGGTATTCATTTGAATCTGCCTTCCCCTTTCCTGCTTGCAATCATGCCCAATGATTTGACATTTTTCACAGAACTTTGGTTTCCAGTCATAGATAACTGATTGCAGAAATGTTTTCCCATTTGAATCTTCCACTATTATTTTATCCTTTAGAGGCTTTGTCACATCTACCTTTTTTAGCATTCTAGCATATGATACTCTTAATTGTTTAGCAGTGCATTCATCAGCATACATAGGTGTACCAATAGAACTTGCAATCCTACTTAGTGAGTTCACCCCCAGCAGTTCAATGGAAGTTTTGGAAATCTAATCCATAATGGAATCTCAGTGGGAAATTCCTTCTCAAAATCAAAGTCAGCTGTCCCTTGTTTAAGTATAATTGGCCTATTACTGATAGTATATGGACCTGCTAATAGAATTTCCTGTATATCTTCCATCGATTTAAATTTGATTATGTAATAACCATCCTCATGCATATATAACTCTGGATCTGGAGTCGAATTCCATGTGTTTTCTATATACCTCTTCATTACGTTATATCCTGGCAAATCACCCAGAACATACGCAATTAAAGCCCCTTTCCATTTCTCTATTTCTCTATCAATTTCTCCCTTATCCAATTGTACTCTAATTTCACCATTTACCATTTGTGGAGGTATGTAGGTTAGTTTCATACCGTTTTCAGCTGCTATATTCTTCGCAAATAAGCTTGTCCATGCTAATCTCACCTCCTCCTTAGCTTCTTCCTTGTTTTCTTCTATCGTTGTTACTGTTCCATTGGATTGCATCTGTGAATTGGTCTCATTCCTTTTGACTGCCTCCTTTTCTGTCTCTCGTTCCTTCATAGCCATCTCAGACCTCAATTGAGACCCTTCTGATTCTTCAATTTGACTCCTAGCTCCATATCCATTGTTTGCATGTGTCGATTGTACCTCAGCTTCATTATCTTCCTTTGGTTCTTCATCATTTTTGTCTTCCAGCTCAAAGTTGTTGCTCTGAATTTTCCGTGGACGGCCTCGTCCTCTTCCTTGGTCTCCACCCCTGCCTCTCGCTCCTGTCATTTTCACACCGGCATAGGTTAATCTAACTTATGCCGAGAGCATTCAATTCTTTTTATTTTAGTAATTTTTAATAGAATAATCACTGATGTCTTGGATTATTAAAAAATAGTAATTTTTTAGAACTCTTTTATAGGCAAAGTGCAACAATAGTCATTTTGAAGCCCACTATTTAAAATATATTCACAATTTATAATACATTTAAAAATTAACCAATTCACCCAAACTTCAGGACTAAAGGTGTGTTTGGTGTAATGTTTTCCGTGAAAAATATTTTTCAAGAAAATATTTTCTTGGAAAATAAGTAGTAAACTTACTCATTTTTCGGTGTTTGGTACGCAAATTAAGGAAAATAACTTCTCAAAGGGTATTCATAAATAATTTAGATACAACAAACAAGAAGCCACAACCTTCCGAACCCACAAATTTCATAAACTTCTGAACCGCTAAACTTTCGAGCCCGCAAACTTTCTAACTCGTAAACTCTATAATTTTCAAACCCACAAATTTCCAAACAAATAAACTTCCGAACTCATAACTTTGGAGCTTGTAAAATTTCAAACCTGAAACTGAAAAATTAAAAAACCAGAACTGAAAATATATAAAAAAAAATTACCGGGGGGGGGGGGTAGGGGTTAGGGGTGGTGGCAGAAAACGAAAAACGTAAAGAAATAAGAAACAAGAAATAAAATAAACAAAACGTAAAAATTTTTAAGGTTAG